TTAATTTTTCGTACAATCTCCTCAGCCGTTACTGAATCCGCCTCGAAATCATGATTCTTGAAAGATGCTGATTGATGAAGCGAATGACTTTGACCTATAGCACCATCAGTAAATTTAAAACATCAGTCTATGAAATATTAATTTTTATCATAAAGTTTATTTGAAATTTGAAATTCACGAAAAATAATTTTCCTTAAAAGAAATAAAATGATCAATATGTAATTATATAAAAAGAAAATAACTGACTCAGAATATTATCCGGAGCGCTGGATTGCGGGGTATAAACCAGCGTAAATATAGTTTTCGATCCCTTAGTCTCGGTCACTTCGCACCATGCGATGTTGTCTATGTGATAACTGACTGCCCGTTGTCTATTCCAAAATCTGGCAGCACCTTTGCCTGTTATTACTGGATCTATCTCTATCTTTTCGCCCGATATTCCAAGATGAATCTCAGTTTTTGCTCGCATTTTGTTAATTATATATACTCTGTAATTTTTGGAGATATGAATATTCTTATACAATCTGAACGCGCGCGCGCGCGCACACACACACACACACACACATCTCGACAATTATGAATCTTATATTATTCTCTCGCTTTATTACAATTTAATTATTATATGTTTTCAATACTGTACTTTTCTTTAATTTTCATCACTTTTCTATATTTTTATTTACATGTATTATTTGCTAATTGTTGTTTCAATGTATCTATTCTTTTATTTTATAAAAAACTTGATATGATATTGTATGTAATATATTGAGGAAATACCTATACGACTGATACAATGGCGCCTCCATCGCAGTAGTATGACCCTCCATCTTGGCCAAGTCCTTTGCAACTTCCTCCTGCTCCTTGTCTTTACCGTCCAGGATCTCTTCATCTTTTTTCTCAATGCAACTTATTGTGTTGTATCGTGCTTTATCACTCGGCTTCATCTCGATCAAACCCAGTGTAGTGAATTCGAATTTGGAGATAATTTCATGTGGATCTAAACAAGGGAAGGCCCAGTCTATCTCACCGTCATCCTCAGTGATGTATAGTCCATAATGTGAAATGTCCTCCCTGAAAGTAACAGTCGATAGAGACTTTATGAATAAATCATATGCGTTCTAGCAATAAAGCAACTTGTTACAAACTTCAAATTATGGTCGGGATGTTCAATTGCATATTTGTAGCAAATTAATCCAATGAAATCCAACACTCGTGCTGTTACTATCACCGCCGCTTGAAGCGGATACATCCTGTCCTCTTTCGGTAACATACACATGAATATCCTGTACTTTCTCACAGGAACGCTCACTTGTGTCTGCATAAAGAATTTTTTTTTTAATATTGTAAAACTTTTATTTTTCAAGAATGAAGCTCATAACAATAATTTTATAATGCATAATCTCCATTTTTTTGCTAAATCTTGTAATATATAATTTTCGTCTTTTAAGAGGTTTTTTTTTGGAAATGAACTTTTTGAGGGAAACGAAAAACGGATACATACGTCGCCATCAAATTTGATATATTCTTTAAATGGATTTGGTGGTAAATATGGACATTTTTCAAGTTGTTCCGACAAAAGAGATTGTCCTTTTTTAAGTGGAGTTTTCCTACGAAAATCTTTTCTTTGAAATAGATCTGATTGATCTGCAGGCGTCACAGCACTAAGATTGTGTTCCCATTTAACATGCTTGATTTTGGCGGCCTTTTTCCTTTCTATATCCATTTTCTCTAATCTTTGTGCAGTATTAGATCTCTGTCTGTGACTGAATGGCATTTCTAGAACGCATAAAAAAAAGTATAATTAAGCAATTTAATAGAAATAATTACACTTTAATTTAGTTTTAATTATAACAAATTATGCTATAAAAATTATTTTATGGACTCTAACTGAATTAATTCCAATTTGGATTTTACATGATATACACATAAAATAATAGAAAACAGAAGTATGTACCCATTTGTATGTCATATGATTCTGCCATCACATCTAAATCCTCGTCATCACTTTCTTCCATACCAGGATAACATTGCAGGGTGCCATTTTTCTTCAACTGCTTAGGAATATCCTCTCCCAGTATCACCATGTCGCACATACCTTTCAATGAAAATTATGTTCTGATATACATTATTGTCAATATAAAAATATGTGGTATACATAAATTATAGATTTACTGACAATGTATATCCGAACATAGCCCGAGAGGAGTATAAGATATATACAGCAAAAAATAATTACAATTCTAAATAAATTAATTGTAATATAGAATATAAAAATAAAGTACTATCTATCAAGGCATTTGGCTTATTTACTGAGTCATATTAATATATGAACAATTAATTTTAATTTATTCTTACAATAAGCATGAGTCATCGACATCGGAAATATTATTTCAGAATATTTCCAGATCGGAGTAATGTTTCTGCCGACGATTCTAACCTAAATTTATCAGAAATCTATACCTGTGTCGTCCGTTGCAAGAAAACTGTCTCTGATGTGCGACAGGAGCCAATGTTGATTATCATAGAGAGCCATTTCTTTCGTCCTTTTTCTCTATTGATTAGACGTCTATTATTAAATATGATCGCGTCTCAATAAAATATGCTCTCGACGACCCATATCGAACTCTTTTTTACAAATCAAAAAATCGATTTCCGCGCCCAATATGTCACGTGGAACGTTGTGAAGTTTGCTAGGTCGCTACAATTGCCGGCAGGTAGTAACTATAAAGTAGTAGTTGAGTCAGTGACATCAGGGATTATAGATGACTTCGATTGTGAACTCCGATTAATTTAATCAATATTAACTTGAGAAAATAAGTAATATCTCTAATATTTTGTTAGAACATGGACAGAAATTTTTATTTTTTTGTTGTTGTTTGGTACAGAATATTAGTGTAACAATAATCGTTGCAATAACGCTGTAATATTGCTGCAACGTGCAATGTTGCAGCATTGTTATTGCAACTTTTGTACTGTAGAGAGAGCGATAAATTATTATATATGAGTTGAAATTTTACTTTAAATAATTTTCCTTTGATTAAATTAATCAATAATTAATTTATAAACTAATATTTGTATAATATAATACATTTTATCAACATAAATACGAAATTATTAACTCTCTTTCGGATACACTATATAGAAATAACGATTGTATAGAAATTTTAATTTATAAAAGTTTCTATCTGGAATTAAACTCAATTAAATTAATTATTTCAGCAATGTAATAGCTATTTAAGGGGTCTAAAAGAAGCACAAAATTATTTTAAGTTTTTTTTTTTTTAATTATCTACTGCGTAAAATTAACTTATATTTTATATATAATATGTTTAAAATGTAAATTTGTAAATTTCAAAATAGACAATTTGATAAATGTATATATTATTTGTATATCATCTATTAAATAATAATTTAGAAAAAATTTACGCACCACTTACAGCATTGATTACATATTAGTCCTTTTGCAATTAATTTTTTTTATATGCAATTGTAAGGAATCCAATTACTTAATTAAATTTAATATATTGTATTACTTTTTTTGAAACAGATTAATTAAAAAGTTTAAGCTATAAAACAATTCGCGGAAAGCTCCTTTGTGCGGTGGGATCGGATATTTGTGGGTATAATATTTCCAAGGGCGAGAGTGATCTGAAATAAAAAAACAAAATATTTTCTTATAAACAGATGTAATAGCTATCGTGTAACGTAGGGTTTTTTGTGGAAAAATGTGGAAAGTAGTTCGATTTGAAAAAAAAAATTTTTTTCATTCTAAAACAACAACTTAAAAAGTTTGTTATAAATAAATGGGTTAACATATCAAAAAAATCGTATGTTATACGATAAATAATCTTAAGAATTCTTGCCAAAATTGAAGTTAATCAGATTATTATAGTTTTGGAGAAAAGTTTACACCCGTCTTGAAAAACATGGTTTCGAGAAAAATGCAAAAGAAGATTTGAAACAATTTTTTTATATAATAAAATGGCCTTACCTTTAATCTGCTATTCCAGCACCATACACCTTGCTTTCAGCTTCTAGAAAATGGTCACGGAGTGGCCCACGACATACAAAGACACAAAAGACAACACTCAGATAGACTGGCTTCTCGATTAGCATCAATGACAATGGTAACCTGATTCGCCTCCCTATTATAACTTGGTCAATTTTTGAAATTTTGACATCGGTCTTGTGGCTTAAAATATTTTTAAAGGTTCAAACTTTTAAAAAATGCAAAAAAAATTTTCAATTTTTTCAAAGTTTCAGGGTGATTAGACTCTTTAAGACGATAAAAGAATTTAATTATCACTAAAGGAATATTCTTTGAGATGTCAAATTTGTTTAATTAAATTAAATTTTATTATTGTAACATAATATATTATATTAACGTTTAATATATGTAGTTTATTTATTTATTTAGTATTTACTTTATTACAATAATACATAAAGCGATCACATAGTTTATTATCAATTACTATACGTGTACATGCAAGGTGAATATTTCGCGATATTTCACAATATAGTTGCTCAAATGCGTTTCGCACTATTTGACAAGATTCGTGTTTTTACGCAAATTTTTATTTGCAAAAATGGAAACTATTTAAAGTTTTTATTCCCGGCTAATCGATCAGAAATTGAATCGATCTCAAACAAATTCCTAAACAAAATAAACATTTAAATACTGTTACAAAGTCTTCCTCGACTATTGCGTTGCAAATAGTACAATTGATTTTTGTGCTGCCTCATTATAGATATAAACAACAACCTAGTTTTTACAATCAAAACGAATAACAATTTACAACGACGCGCTATATGCAATGATATTGAAATAATATGATAATAAATTGTAAGGCAAAATCTTACAGTGTAAGCATTAAAATGGCCATTTAGAAGCTTCAATAAAATTTGTATATACGTATAATTACTAATATCTTTCGTATATACGTATTTCTTAAATATATTATATATATATATATATATATACATATATTTATTTATTATCCCATTTTATATTGTAATTATGCGCATAAATTGCTCATTCCCAACTACTATTTTTTAATGATTTTTTGAAGTTACATGGCAGCGTCGCGTTTAAAATTTTAAAGGCGATTTCTGGTCCTCATGATCTGTGGGGCTTCCACGGTGGCGGTGACGGCGGCATTGGCTGAGGGTTGGTTCTCCAAAATGATGCCCCAGATTGCCGCGGCCACCCCACCGAGGGCCCCCTTCTCGGCATCAGTGTTCTTCTTAAAATTGTGTACCGAATAACGATTGTACAAGCCCCAAATGCTATTCATCAGTTTACTGTTGTACTTGAGTGGCATTAGCTCCCAACCTACATATTTAAAAAATCAAATGTACAAGTATAAATTAAATTAAGAAAATTGAAGTGTATCCGTATCTAAAACAAAAGTTGAATTTATAAAACCAAATGAGAATATCTTTACTTACCCTCTAGAGGAGGCCTCGGATTGAATACATTTTCCTTCTTTTCTTCAGTTTTTTCTTTTTTCTTCATCATAGAAACAGTTTGCTCCTCGTTATAGCGAACTTTACACACTGCGAAAGCACCCTGCGGAATGGAAGCCATTTTTCCACAGTCTACAAAATTAAATGTTATTATAAAAAATTTATTGTAACGATTAAATAATTAATGTACATAGATTAAAGTTTAATATGTTCTACAGTATTAATATTAATATTTTACAGTATTAATATTTTACATATAATACTTTTCGTAATAATTGAATTTATAAAATATATTATTTATATTAGTAACTAATAATAAATTGATTTGCTCTTTATTATTGACATTATTTATGCTAAGATATTTGTTGATAACAAATTAAAATTAATTAGTAATTTTATACGATATAACGAGTTTATTTGAATTTTATCGATTAAATTGTTACGTCTATAATGAATATGTATGTATACGAATATTATGTAATAATTGCGATGCATGTTTTACTAAAAAATATCTCAAGAGATTCTACTAATCTCAAAAGAGAAAATTAGTTTAATAGTAATTTAGCAGGTATTATAAATGTTGTTTAAGGAGGAAATACATATATCTCGAATTTAGTCGTGTGAATCAAAACAGTACCAGAGCTGCTGTGTACAACTATAGTGTATATTATATCTATGTGCATGTGAGTGTGGGTATATCTTCCTATACATTCGTAGCTATTTATGTCTTATTATCATGCCTTTCATATCTTTAAGCTTTGATCTTCGTGCGTCTTATAAGTAAACGGAACAAAGTGAGCAGAATCAACTCTACTAACTAATATTTTTATTTGTTACTCATTTGTTGTCGAAAAGGTGTCAGAGGAAAAAATTTGTTTTCTAAGTTTTCTTAAAAAATGATGTTTTGCTAAAGAAAGATTAAGTTAGCAGAACAATATATACAAATATGTAACAAAAATATTATATTCAATAATAACGTCAATAATAAAGGAATTTGTTTTTGCTGTTTAAATATCCAAGTTTAAATCCATTAATTGCGAAATAAGTGTAAATAATAAATACAAATACTAAAATTAATTTCATCTACTTATTTTGTTTCGCCAACTTACAAAACGTGATCTTTGATCATAAAGATAATTACGCCCCTTCACTATTTATAATATTATAAATGTCAAAGCACGTTTCATACAGGAATAATAAATCGCAATCACGCCCAATTGACATAATGATATATAATTTATCTTGGTTATATTTTATATACTTTATTTATTCTTCTTTTTGTTCTCTAAAATCTAAATGTGCATTTCATCCCTTTTTAAATTCGCAAAAACTCAAAGGAGTTCGCAAACGCTGTTAAAGTTGCGCTCTCATTTGAATAATTATTTTCTACGTTTTTCGCCAAATCCAACTGACCGATGCAATTCTCGAAAAGCAATTCCGTTATCTGCCTTTTCGTAAATTGTCTTTCTGTCGCCAGGCTCGCCTTCGGTGTGCTTCCTCTTTTCTTGTCTCGATTTGTCCTTCGAGTTTCGATCCTCCGGGAAGCTTCAAGCCTCAGGCAGCCGCCAACGATGATGGTCTCGGTAAGATTCATCAACCAAAGGAAAGTCTTGTCTTTGTTGTCGACGTACGAGAAACTATACTTCCGCTTTGCGTCGCTATTTGTTTGTTATTTGTGACTTGTCGTGCGTAGCTTCTTTTTGACTTCGGGATCTATTCCGAAATAATCCAACGTGATTACTGGTTCCCAACGCGACGGCGGTCATCACTTATAAGCTTGGTAGGGAAGAAAGCAAGGAAGATGGCGAGACCGAGACGGACAGAGAAAGAGAAATACTTTTTTTTTATTCGTTATAATAAGAACGGCATATCGGCGGCCTTCGAGACACTGACGTTGCCCGACCACCGTGGACTCGGTCTTATCGTCTTTAATGAGCAAGAACCTCCAGTGTCGTAGTCTGATTCTGATACAATAATACGAGAGTTTAAAACTTAAATCCGAATAGTACCGTATTGTAGAAAAAAAATTTAAATGACGGGTATTTAAATATTTCAATTGAATTAACGTAGAGATTGCATTTCTTATTATTTGAATATCAACCAGATTTAAATCGTTTATCAGACAGAACGTTGAAAATCTTTTCTGAACGTCATTTTTTATATTAGCCTGCTGGTGAAGACCACAAACGAAGATTTCTCGAGAAGGAGGGCAAGACGTTATATCGTAATAAACAAATTTATCAAAACGAGACCGAGAACAAATGTCCGTGCTTTTTATCATCGCGAATCTTATTACGGACGTTACTTTCCTTGTGTTAAATGTTTCTCCTTTGTCGTTTATCATAAATAGGGCGGTTGCATCAATGGTTGCATCAACATATATAGCAATGACGTTTTGTGCATGCTTCGATATTTATATTTATTGCATTTGAATAAAGCAAATAATTGAGCAAATTGTGTAATAAATATATATATTCCTCCGATCAATCTGTTTTAATTAATCTGTAATTTGACAAATTCATTAGTTAAATGAAAAATTTGACAAAGTTTTGGATTTATTGATAATTATACTTTTTTAATTATATTTACTTTTTTATAAAAATAAATAATTTTACAAAATAAAAAAATTTTAAAAACATAACATAATTTCTGGGAAATAGTTAAAAAATGTCACGTGTCACAAACACGATATACTTACTCGTACTTTTCTATATTTCTATTTTTGCATTTCACTGAGTGTTATTTAATGCATACATTTTACGATACAGTAATTTTTAAAGCATACGAAGATAGATAATTACATACTTTCAGATTTTTACATGAAAAAGTCAAAGGAAACATTCAACATTAAATATGAGTTAATGTCTATGATATGAATTAATACATTCATTGCATTTAATATACTATTTTTATATTTCAATACATTTGAACTACATTTGTAAATAAGTCAATAGAATATTTACATAGAATTTAATACTAATTTTTGTTACGTATTTTTATTATGATTTTTATTAAAGATGCACTGGATATCCGAAGAGTATCCGATATCCGGTATTATCCGCCACTTTTTTACTATCCGACCGGATATTCGGATATTATTTAGTATCCAAGAATATATCCGGTTAAAATTTTATATTATTAACAAATTCAAGTAAAGAAATATACAAAATTTATAGACTCCTTAAAATTAATACAAAAAATAACGGCAAAATATAAATCAAGAGTCAGCGCTGGATATTATATTGCGCAATGCTAATTAATACCTATTGATATTTCACAAAATCAATTTTGTTCGGCTCACTATTTGAGCCATTCTCAACAATAAACAATTATCGCACTATAAAATCTGTCTTTATATCGTCACATTGTTGATTTTTTATTATATAAATGTTCTATTATATAAATAAGTATGTATACTCAGTACTATAATATACCTTAGATTAGCAAAATTATAATTTTTTTCTTCAATTTTTTTTTTTAAGAAGATATTTTCCCGGAATCCAGTCGGATATTCGGAAAATATCGGATATCCGATTGGAAAAATTATCCTCCCGGATATTTGTCCGGATAGTGGATATCCGATGTTACATTCTTTTCGGACATTCGGAATCCGATAATTTTACGATCCGATGCATCCCTAATTTTTATTAGTTTCAATTTAAGATACTAATCAATCTATAAAAACTATTTACTTTTGATATTAAGGATAATTTTACTTAAAAATAAATCTCTTTTTCTTATTAATGTATTTATTTTTTTTATAGGATATAAACCCTTTGAATAGTTATGATAAAAATAGTTTTGATTAAATAATGAAGCTATCAATTTTATATTTATTCATCAGTGTTTTAAGTATCTTCTTATATTTATAATAATTATATTTAGCTTATTTGTTAAATGTAATGTGGATTTTCATTTCCTGAATTTGCCTTGCAAGATTTACTGTCTTCGATAACTATGTAATCAAAGCTTTCTACATGCGCAATAATGCGCAATAACGATATTTGTTTTTATTGTACAGATATATAAAATTGAATCATCAGATCTCGTGTAATTGAAACATTTGAAAAGCAAGCTATATGTATATGTAGAACGACATATAATAAATAATGACAAGACCGAGAACTGCAATTAAAGATATTGCTAAAATTCTGATTCTTTTAAAACTAAAGCAGATTTTGCTTAAAAAAAAAATATTAAATAATTACATCTAAAAATTTAGTTTTAAAAATCCAGATTATCGATAATTAATAATGCACGATAATAAATAATAAAGCAATAATAATGACACAGATATTACAAATATTGTAATTTTTTATGATGGTTGCACGGAAGTTTTTGAAATCATTATGAAATAACAATTTTAATGATTTTTTAATATTTTTTTATTAAGTTTTAAGACAGAAAGAAAGAGGTATCATTATCATTTAAACTTTGATTCTATAATATTTAATCAATGATTTTCTTTCCAATGATTAATGAATTGAACTATGAACATTGATCACAGAGATGCAAATTATGTACACAAAACATTTTTTTAATTATTTTATTATTGAAATTATATATAAGTACAAAATATCACACTAATATCAATTGTAAGGTTTCATCTAAAAAAATGTTATATATATAATCAATGTTACATATAATAAAAGAAATGTTAGATATAATTAATTATTCTAAATCATGAGACCAATTCGGCTTTCTCTTTTCCAGAAAACTTTGTATTCCTTCCTGAGCATCTTTCATTTTCAGATTATTTACCATTTTTTCGGTGCCGAGAGCATATGCTGTCGATATATCAAGAGTAATTTGTTCGTACAGGAATGTTTTACCAAAATGCACAACCGAGCGGCTCTTTATGTTAATTGCTTCTGTAATTCGATGAATTTCTTCGTCTGAAATCGAAGTTAAATATAACTTTAGCGCCGAGACACTATCGTATCTCTAGATAAGATACATGCAAATGTATACGTCATGATAAGTAAAAAATGAATTGTGTAAATACGTTACTTTTTTATTAAATAAAAAATGAAAATAATACAAATATATT